CGACCGTAAAGTTGTATTCTGCAAAGAATGACAACCACCGCGCCATTCGTTGTGAAAGGTGCGGGCTGTTCACTGCCGTGCGTAAGGAAGCATGGTCAGTGTAAACAACGAAGGGTCTATCTCCTAATAGATAGACTCTGAACTTCGCGAGTGCATACTTCATGGCAAGGAGTTCCTTGTCATGCACTGGATAGTTCCGCTCAGCTGGTTGCAGCTGACGCGACTGATAGCAGACGACGCGTTCAACGCCTTCAAGGTCGTACTGCATTAATGCACAGCCGATTGCGAAATCGCTGGCATCACAGACCACATGAAATGGCCTGTCCTGATCGGCTATTGCTAGGACTGGGGATTGTATCAAGCTCTGCTTGATACCCTCAAAGGAGCGTTGACATTCAGCGTTCCATAACCACCTCTCGTTCTTTTTCAACAAACGAGAGAGGTGTACAGTCATCTCGGCGTAATTGCGTGAATACTTATGCAAATACGCCGCTAGCCCAAGGAATTTTCGAAGACCTTTGACATCAACTGGCACAGGCCAGTCGGTGATCGCCTTGATCTTTTCGGGATCAGGACGTACACCGTTCTTACCAAAGATGCACCCAAGAAGTGGTATTTCGCTTGTTGCAAATATACACTTCTTGAGATTAGCATACAATTGATGCTTTCGCATGATTGTAAGAACTTGTCGGACGTGGTACCTGTGTACCTCAAAATCCGACTTTCCATCCATAGCCCGACTATGAATGAATACGTCATCGAAATAACTCGGCGCAAATTCTCGTACTGGTCTCAACAGATGTGATACACATCTGTCGAACGTGGCAGAGGCATTTCTAAGCCCTTGTGGCATTACTAGCCACTCCCAGAGCATGCCGCTAGGCGTGCTAACTGCGGTATAGGGTATGTTCCGTTCTCGCATAAGGATTTGATAGAAGCCATCCATCAAATCCATGGACGAAAAGATGGTACTCTTTGACATACCATCAATGATTACGTCCTTCCTCGGTATCGGCGTCTGAGCCGGTACCGTTGCAGCGTTCAATTTGTTAAACGCGTGCACTATCCGCCACCCTCCTGTTGCTTTTCGCACACAGAAGGTCGGAGAGCTATGTGGGGAAGTTGATTCCCTCACATGGCCCGCTGCTAAACGATCGGCAAAGAACTTGTCGATCGCAAGTACTTGTTCACGAGGCAGTGGCCACTGCTTCATGACACAGTACTTCGAGCCTGGTTTAAGCTCGACTTCGTGTCGAATACCTTTATCCTTCGGTAATTCGCACGGAACAGTTTCAGGGAATACATCCTTGAATTCAACCAAATCTTCATAGAGAGGATTTTCCTTGAGCGATTCCCATGATTGGGACTCATATCGCTCAATTCGTGTCTTTTCATCTAGGACACTCTCATCCATAGATGAACTACTGAGAACTCTCTCGTTCTCAGTAAACACTGTTGCTGACCTTATGTCGGTTACATACTCGTCTTCAGCGACGAGTATGCAGATCTGCTTGACTTTGCCACTACGCAGATCACGCAAGAATCTTTTATGTTCGAGCGTTGACAACTGAGTGATCTCCGAAGTTAACTTCGGAGGCGCAATCAGATCAAGTGTATAAGCGCCTACACATGATCCGTTATTGACTATGACATTCAATGTCTCTGTCATTTCCTGGGGACTTATTCCCTCAGGCTTCGAAGGACTTATTCCTTCGTCTTCCCGGGGACTTATTCCCGCGGGTTTCGGGGAACTTATTTCCGCCGTATTTGTAATCTTGGGACTTATTCCCTTTACTTCCTCTAGCTGGGGTTGCGCAACCACAGCGAGATCCTCTACGAAAGACTCTCCAGTCGATCTAGGATTATCGTTTCGCTTAACCTGAGCGATCGATTGTTTCTCTTCTAGATGTTCCCCTCTAGGGATACATCTTTGTCCCAGTCCACCCGACTTATTCGAGTGGTGGACCTTCGGCGCAGCCTGTGTTTCCTCACAGCCGCCGGAACTTTGCTCCGAAGTGTAACCGTTTGGTACACTAAGGTTTTGTGCAGTCGTACTAACGACCGTACCACAAGTGAGGCCATCGCACTCACTCGTAGTACATCCACACGCTTGTGGACTCTCCAAAACGTTCATCAGATGGCCATCTGATGAACAAGCGGCAGGCATCGTTACTGTCCGATGTTGCCAGTTTACCCGTGGTTCGTACCTTCTGAGCCACGGTATTCCAAGGATGACATCAAATTTGTCATCCAAATCCAATACGATAAAGTCATCGTCGTATTGGGTATCTTCTAGCGTATAGTGAATCTTCACTATACGCTTCATGACGGTTACGGATGCGCCTGTCGCAAGACGTACCGTCATCCTCGTAGGAGGTGTGTCACATTCACTGAATTTAAAGTGACCATCTTCTAGCGATTGGCGTCGCACAAAATTGTTGGACGCCCCACAATCGACTAGAGCTCGAAGGGACAACTTATTCGTCACTTCGAGTTTCAAGGTAATGAGTGAGATCTCATTACCTAGAGCAGCAACGCACAATGTCTGTGTGTTGGGAGCAACCTTCATCAAGAGGCCTACAAATTCTCTTGACGTTGCTGGATCAGTAGGGTGCTCCGCACCTACTGATCCTGTCCGTTTTTTGACGGTCCATCCCGTTGTTGCGTCTTTGCACCAACTGCGGACCCTCGTCCCTGCCCCTTTCTCATGGGTGGACGGTCACTACGCCCAGTGTCGCGAGACACTGGACGAGGGGCACTACACTCGTAAGCGTAGTGTCCTGTCTTTTGACATCTGTTGCATCTCTGCAACTTCTTGTAGCCTGTAGAGCGAGCCTTCTCGCTCTCTACATAACAGAGTTCCATCGGCTCTGGACCTCCGTTGTCATATCGTCTCGGTTGACGATATGATGTCGAGCTGGCGCGAGCCTGTCTCAGACTGAAGTCTTCCTGCTCCGCAATTGAAATGGCTTGTTCTAGTGAATCTAGTTCAAGCCGGAACAGGTGAGTCTTGACGGGACCATCCGCAAGACCCTGCATGAACACCGAAACCAACGTGTGTTCATCCACCGGATTGGAACTTATACAACTCGTGAGATGTCGTATATGTTGAGCGTAAGCGTGCACATCACGCTTACCCTGCTTGAGCTTCAAGAGTTCGGTTCGAGCTCTGAACTCAGCTCTAGGCGGTTCAAACGTTTGTCTGAGCCGCGACTTGAAGACTTCCAACGACCCAAACGCGTATGGGTCGTGCAGCTTGAGCCCCAGTGCCCAAGTCTTGGCACGTCCTGCCAGATTTGACTGGGCAAATGCAACTTGCATATCCCCGTCGTCGATGCGACGCGCCCTTATGGCGTCATCCAATTCGACGAACCATCTCAAGAGGGAGTCTTCTTCGACCCCCCTATACTTTGAGATGTCAATCTTCAAAGTCTCGGGTCGACGCGAGTGCATCGACCCGCCAGCAGCAGCTTGCTGCTGTCTCAACAGTTCAAACTGTTGAGCACCTTGTTCTCTCAACAACTCTGCTTGTTGAGAACCTTGTTGGTGAAGCAAGGCTACTTTCTCGCGTTCTGCGTCAAGTTCATTTTGAATGAACTTGGCGATAGTAGCATGTTGGGCATCTCTATTGAGAGCCTCTAGCATGACGCTAACAGCATGGATGCCCATGGTCGAACCCATTCGTTCAACCGCATCCCATTCGACATCGCTCAAATGAGAGTAGCCGTCACGCGTAGCGTGAAAGCTTTGGTCATCTTCATCATCCAACATATTCATGTTGGATGTGAACGCGGTCCTTGGACGGACTACAAAGTGCTACCAGGTGTAACGGGGCACCCTGAAGCTTGTACTGGTGACAGTACAAGCTACTTATTCTGATAACAGAATAAGGCGGTGCCTCGTAACTTCACGTACACTCGTACGTGCAGAGGAAGACGGTAAGAAGAAGCGAGTACTCGGTTAGAGTAAAAAGTAGAACTGTATTTATAATAGTTAATGTCTGCAATAAATCACTATTTATCTTCATCTAACTATGTCTAAATACAAATGTGTAAATCAGTTATCTGCTCACCACTCATTGCGTGCGTCTGTCGTGGCGCGTCTTCGTTGGTTGATATAATGGCCTATATCAACCAATTAGGAACTACTTGGAAGTGCTACAGAATATTGTCCTTATGACAATATTCTGAGAATATAACTCTTATAGTTATATTCTATTAACAATTTCTTATAAATTGTTATGTAACGATTCACCCCGTTACAATCTGCGCCATGTGGAGGAGCTGGCGCATTTTGCGCAGTCAATCGAGTCGACAGCGACGTTGGTCGGTCGCATTGTCGTGGCATCGCACGTCGACACGCCAGTGCAGCGGAAAGAATCGCGCAGATGCCATGGGTGTGGCAAAACTGGCCACATCCAAGCGAACTGCCGCTCTAAAGCGAGCGGAAACCACAGCGGTGGGGGAAAAGGAATACCGGCGGTGATGGCGACGGAGGTATGGTGTTGTTCGCGACCGACATCAAGCCGCGGTCGCGTGGAAAGCGGGCTGGGCGTAAGCACAGATTAGCGAGGGAGTCGGTGAACGCGATAGGCAACAGTGGCGCCAGCGACAAAAGTGCTTGGATCATCGACAACGGCTCGAGCCGACACCTCGTCCATGATGCGACGCTGCTGCGTAATGCAAAGTGATGCATCTACGAAATTGCTATGGCATAAGAGAAGCGCTCTAGTTTACGCATGTTGTAAGTGTGCAGATGCAGGTGGGAAATAAAGGACGGTCACGCTCACAGACGTGTACCTGGCGCCACAGCTCGCTCGCAACATAATATCTTACGGGCAGCTTGAACTTTAAGGTTTCGGACTTGTGTACGAGAGCGCTGAGTGATCGCTTGATCGGCGCAGCGATGGAGAGATCGCGATTGATCTTAAAATGAGCAACAAAGTGCTCTGCGTGGTGACTCCTGCAGTACGATGCAAAGAGGGAGCCATAGACGTGATCATGGCGGCTCTCGAGGTAGACGTGACTGTGGACCACAAAAGAGACGTGCAAGTGGGGTCTCTAGTACACTTTTATCAGCAATTTGGTCAACTCGCATATGACACAATCGTGCGCATCTCGCGCGATCCTGACGCGGGAATCGAGCTCACGGATCGGCGACGCGTGGCGTGCGTCATTTGCACGGAAAGCAAGCAGACAAAAATGCGCAGAGCCAAAAGGATACTGGCGCGAACTCACCCATAGAGCGAGTGGGGGGTGTTATCTGCTCTGACCTAAAAGATCCACTCATGCCAAGAGACAGGCTTGGGAACCGCTATCTAGTCAATTTTGTGGATCACAGAAGCAGCTACTGTCGGGTGATTTTAGCGAAGACTAAGGATCAAGCGGCAAAGAAGTTTGAGCATTTCTTGTCGTTTTTCGAGAGACGTTTCAGATGCAATATATTGGTTTTGCGAACCGATGGCGGGGGGGAGTATCTTAACGTGGACTTGTTCCGCAAGAGAATCGGGGTTGCACGTCGAATCAGCGAGCCAAGAAATCAAGCAAGTAACGGAAAAGCAGAGCAAATGCACCGCACCGTCCTTAACGTGGCACGGTCAATGATCTTCACAAGAAATTTACCGCTGCATTTTTGGAGCGATGCGGTCGAATACGTTACCCATACACTCAATAAGAGTCCGACGAGCGCGAACGCAACGTGCGCATCGCCTCTCGAGGTGCTCACTCATTGAGTGCCGGACATGCGGGAAATCGTGGTGTTTGGATCGACGTTTGACGTACGACGAGACCCAGGAAAAAACCCCTGCAGCGGCGATCCGAGAAGGGCACGATTACTGGCCGCAACGACGAGACGAAGAGCTACAGGATATATTCTTAAGGGAGAGCAACACCTTCATCATCACGCAGCATGTCCGAAACATCGCGACGCTTACAGAGGAGCAGAACACGCGACTGTTGCGTGGTATTAGCAGTCCAGTTGACGACGACAGCGTCAATGGAGACACAGACCCGAGAATTGCACAAATAAGCGCCGAACAAGCAACATTGACATTAGCTGGCAAAACACGAAGTCGCGAGAGTGCACCTAAATGAACAAGGAAGTGGAAAAGAGAGCCCCATGCGACTCGCGGTGAGCTAAAGCGCGCGGGAGCAATGGCAGAGCCTGAGGAGCCCCCAGTAAACGCCGACATTGTCAATGTGTTGTTTAAGAAGGACCCTGGCAACAACGGCGAAGTGATGCGCAGAAACAAGCGCGCCGAATGGCAAACAGCAATGCAAGAAGAGATCGCGGCGCTGGAAGACAGTGGAGTCTTGCGCGTCATCAAGCGAAGCCCCGGCTCGAATGCTTTACACTCGAAATGGGTCTACAAGACCAGTACCGGCGCGGATGGCGAGCTGGAACGGCAAGAGGCGCGGCCTGTGGCCTGTGGCGACGAGCAGGTGCTCGGGTTGACTACAACTTGACCATTGCCGCCGTGATGGACATCTCGACGGTAAAGGTCAATCTAGCATTTGCAGCCACGTGGGGGTGCCGGCCAAGCATGGAGACATCCCGAACGCGAATGTAAAGGCTGAGTAGGAGGCACACCTGCAGATATGCTTGCCTGTTCCGCGCGGCATGAGCGTGTCCAGCTAAACTCTACAAAGACTCGGTGCTACAAACGCGAACGAAGTCGTACTATAGCTACGCAAAAGCCTATACGGACTTAAGCAGGCTGGAAGGATATGGAGTCAGCTGCTGCATGCTCTGCTTGCAGAAGCCGGGTTCCAGAGGTGCATGTCCGACGTGTGCCTGTATTGGAAAAGAAAGCGGTGTTGAGCTGGTAATTGTCGGAGTGTACGTTGACGTCTTGCTGGCCACTGGCACGTGTGCAGAGGCGGTCGATAGGTTCTTTGAGAGCCTGAAGACGCTGTCGATCAGGGACATTGGGTGCGTCCACAAGTTCCTCGGTATGCGGGTGGATTTAGACGAAGACGGGGCGTACAATATTGATCAAGAAGAAGCAATAAATGTTTACTTCATGAGCACGGCATGTCGGATCCGAATTCGACTAAGACACCTATCGGCGACGATTGCTAAGAGGTGCTACATACGGATACAGCACTGCTTGACACGACGAGCGCGGGCGGTGGCGCTACAATCGAGGCATTCCAGTCGCTTGTAGGAAGCCTACTCTGGGTAGCACTGTGCTCGAGGCCGGACATCGCGTTCGTGGCTCATGAGGCCACCAGGCAGACTCACGCTCCGCGGCTCCACGAATGGAAACTTGCGAAGCGCATTGCGAGGTACTTCAAAAAGTGTGCTGGCCTCAAACTTGCGATGGTGCCTGCACAAAAAATTATTTAACGCGCCGGAGCTTCAGACGTACAGCGACGCAGACTTCGCGGGAGACAAAGCAGACCGCAAGTCGATGACAGGAGGGGTCGTGCTGTTAAACGGCATGGCGGTGTCATGGGAGGCGCGAAAGCAGAGGCGTCAGCCTCTCGACCATGGAAGCAGAGTTCGTGGCCGCGTCGGATATGGCTCGTGAACTTGTCGACTTGCGCGAGGTCGACATGGTGTCGGTTATCTTCATGATTATTCGCGTGGACAATCAGGCGATTATCAGCCAGATCGATGGAGAAGCCTCGAGCCTGGAGGCCAAGCACATCGGCGTGCGGCTCAAGTTCATCAGTGACTTCGCGCGCCGTGAAATTGTGAAGACCCAGTACGTTCGCTCGGAGCTTAAGCTTGCGGATTTATTGACCAAAGCCATGGATGTGTCAAAGCTCGCGACGCTGCGCGGCCTAATGCAGCTCGCCTAGGAATGATGAGGCGCGAAAAGAAAAAAGTCAAGAGATGGCTTGGGACATGTACATCGCTACGCACGCATAAGGCGCGAGGAATCTGAACACCGGCAGCACTCACAAGGAGTAGTGTTGAAAAACGACGTGTCGACATATGTTGCTCTTGTGCAAAGCGCGGCTTTCGCTCATGCTTGACGGTGTTTAAAACATAGTGAAACTGGGTGTGACTCGGAATGGGTGGTAGGGAGAAGACCTGCGGGCAAGGGCAGCTGAGGACTAACGGGAGCCATTGGTGGGAAAGGTAAACATCAGTGTCTATACTTCTAATTGTCGCTTAATAGTTCTGTCACCGCAATAGGATGGTATTTCCTCTGCAAATAAATGGGTGTGCCAGTAACACTAGAATCTACCAAGGGCGATACTCGATACCTCGGCATCCTAGCTGTGTGTACAGATGGCTCCAATCGATCATAAAAGACTGCTGTGTAATAGTCACGGGTGCGACTGAGACTGGCGAGCCCACAAATCCAACAGTGGGCCAACGGTCACCTATATTAACGGCGACCATCGTACAAAAACTTCTGTATATTGCGCGACAGGTTTGTCTAATGATTTCAACAGATTTCCTCATTTAGCAGTACATACAAAACTATGTCCGGCATGGTTATTGGAGATATCTACAGGACGTACACGATGTGGCTTACCAAAACAGTCACTTGTCTGGCTTAACTGGAAGGGTGTGTGTTATTGACAGACTTGCCAGCTGAAAAACTGTCACTGGCAGCGGTGACAGTATCAAAGTGGGGGTGACTTTCGCTGGATAAAAGCAGCTCCTCGACGATTTCCTCACTATGGGCGATACGGCAAGCAAGGAACAACCAGCTTGGTTACGCTCGGAAAATTGGTAGACTACACGCAAAATTTTAGTAAAAGAAACTTTGTGGACTGCTGAGAAGCAGGATCTGGGCGCAAACGGAGTGACAAGCTCTTACCACTTCAGACGAAGGTTGTTTTAGCGTTCCAGTTGGTAAACAAGCTTTTGCTTATTAACTTGTGTGGTACACTGCTGATCTACGATCGACGTCACGTCGCATCTAGGAAACGAGGTGCAACAGCAATGAAGCCATGTATGGGCTCATTATAAACAACTTCACACGGTATGGATTCCTCTTGCAGATCAGGCACACTATGGGCTATTTAAGGCAGACGGGTCAATCAACACTCATATAAAAATTTAGTTATATTGCATACAGAGTCGTTAGTGCTTCTAAATATCTTCCGCTAGCATAAACCATGCTGGATTTTTTTTAGTTTTCAACGCTTGACCGCATGGTAAAAGCCAGTCATGCGCGTTTTTGTTGCACAGATTGCGAATTTTTAGAAAATTATTCTGGATCAAAGAATACCGGACTTGATCGACATATTTACTGATTCAGCAGAAATCGTTTAACCTTTACCGCAAGGCGTAAGATCGATGCAGCACTACAAGTAATGTTGAAAGTGATTTCAGGCTTCGCCCCTCCTAACTTTACGTTTCTAGTGACCCATTAAACAAAGGCAATCTTTTCTATTAAGGCTTAAGCGGAGGAAGACTACACGATCATCACTTTCCCAACACCCTGTAATAGAACGCATAGCTGTTTTCCATTCTTGAAAAAAAAAGCTTATTAGGCAGACGCCGGTATTTTAAACAAGCGCGTATGCGCATGAACAGTCGTCGTGGCATGTATGGAAAAAACTGACATGAGACTCGTATTAATTGATGACGATTTAATAATCCGATGAGCTTTGGAAACCGTAAATTGGAAAGGCACCTATTGTATAAGGGGAGGAATGTTGTGCCTCCCTTCTTTAACAATTGAAGACCTATACGGCGGGACAAGTTTCGTTGAATGCTAACTACCCAAATACCAGGAGGTGCAAATTAATATGTTGCACACGTGGTATGAGTTTCTGGTGGCACGAGCGATGTAAAATATATTTCTCGGTCCGAGGCATGAAAATAAGGCTGTCAACAAGCTAAAGCGACTCAATGGAGATTTTTTGCCTCCAACTATCAATGATGCCATCCGGATGCCGGTCCACAATGCCGAAGGTGTATACCTCGCTACCGGTAGATCTACTCACCCTATTTTACATGTGGATGTACGATGTGCTGCAGTCGTACCGTTTTTTTTGTGTCGCACTCATCCTTAAAGCGAGCAAAGCGAAAAGCACCGCTGTCGAGATGCTACATTGCCAAACAGTGTCCACTGATAAGTGACTATCCTTAAGGGGCTCTTACGGCAGGGCACTCTTATGCTACATTCTCGCAACCTTTTTGTAACAATTTGGACGTCCAAGTCGCTATAACTGTCGCCCACATGGCATTAACAGGGCGTACAGAAGGGTATTCGCCTGCTCAAATATGTGCCAGCTCAGGTTTTAAATGCACAATCTTCTTTAATACGTGCACTTAGCAATAATGGCCCAGGGGGACCGGTTTAGACCTTGTATTATGGGTTGATTCAACGTCAGATCTCACCATTTATTGGATAATAAGTATTTTACTTACCAGTGCATTCACCACGAATAAAGTGCATGAACGTAGTGGCCTCTTATGAGTCTTTGAAAAGCCTTGGAAATTTCTACACTTCACTCATGCTGTCGGAGCCGTCAAGCTCATTTTAAGATAATAGCGCAGCCGGACGCAGCTTACAACACGACATTTTACTAAAAGTACATTCGATGGGTAGCTATGGCGGATCGAATATATGCTTCCACCTGGTCGCATCATCTGCAATATTTCTACGGATGACCGATGGGCTAGCAAATTGGGCTATGGATACGAAATAAGGTGTACAAGTACACGACACCCCCGCCCCCGCAACCACCGATGCCCCGAAAACCACTACCATGGAAGGCAATCACGTCCTACACGGTTCGTGACTTAGGTCATTGGCAAGATTACTCAAGAAAGGAGGTCGATAACCCTGGGACTGGATATCAGTGGAGGTTAAACTGCATCCCCCGCCATGTGCGTTTGCTAACATCTAAATTAGATATCACGCAGATGCAACGTGTGTGAAGGCCTACGCCGGACGGAAATTTGGGGTTGTTAAAACATTGTAGCCAAATGAAGATGATGTGCCTACAAAAACATTTTAAAAATGATGCAGTTCACGATACACCGATTCCATGTACGTAATTATGTGTCATAATTCGCTTCATCTCCTGGTCGATCACTCTATTCACCCTTTCGATTGGTGAGTTAATTCTAGCATCCGTATGACATTATACGTTCTTCGTCTTGTTTCCTTTTTAACATATGACAGTCATGATAGCCTTCGTCAAAATGCAAGCTTGATCCCTGACGCAGGATTGTTTGCCATTCACTCCAAGTTGTCTTACGATAGGTGTCAGAGGCGCTGTCGGAAGTTCATACGCTTTCGCTTTGTATACCTGACGAGGAGTTGGTCGTTCCTTGGTCATTCAGTATCACTATAAGAATGTCAGGAGTAGCATATTTTATGTGCGAAGTTCCCACTGTCCAGACGTAAAACACACTGTTCTTCAGTTTTGCGTCAAAATCTACTTTTTCGTGCCTTCTCGCGGCTATCGATCATGTTTCTCGATCATACGGATATACAAAACAATTGAGTTGAAGTTTTACATATGCTTAGATGTTGCGCTCGAGTTGAATCGCAAGATAAAGACCGGTGAGCTGAGCTCTCGTTTCCTTGCCAGTTGCCATCACGCGTGATCGGAAGATTCCCACTTTAACAGTAATAACGTCTTTCCATCTGCCACGTTGCATTAGTATCTGCAGTCTTGTGCGTGCAGTGACAAGCTCTCGTTTTCATAAAGCTTCAACTTGAATTTGATGTCCGATTTCCACTTGTCTTAATCTTCATTTGCCTCTTCAAATTCTCATACAATAGTCCAATGGTCTTTTTGCTGGTCGGCAAATCCAAATTGTTTTTAAACACGGATGTTTATTGCCAAAAAATGCCAGCACTACCTCTTCCACGACATCCACCGTAATTCTTCCTGTTTTCGATTCGACAGTCGGACTTGATGTGACTTGTTTTTCCGCACCCATAACACGTGCGTGTCTATCTCCTTTATTATGCATCGTCGACGGTAGCCACATCGTCTTGTCCATGTTCCCAGACTTTGTGCAACTCAATCTCCAGCGCTAAGTGGGCGAGCTATTCGGCTTGACGCAAGTAGTCGAACCGTAATTCGTCGTAATTGGCCATACGCTATATGCTAAATTTTGTTAAAGCGAAGTGCATGATGTTTTCAAGCACATGATTATCCACATCTCTGCATGCGTTGCTAATTGCAACCATGCCAACGTATTGCTTCAGTCAACTTCTCTCGGTTGCACAGCGCGCCGTAATGAGCTAAATAGTTTTAGTCACCAATCGCGGTCTTTGAAGTCTACCGACGTCTTTTAATGACATGGTCAAGCATTGGTGAAATAAGAATGCATGACATTAAAATGAGTATGGTGGAGGTAGGGTAGAGTATCAGTCATCGAGTAAGTAATCTATGATCCGAACAAAAAGTGAGAGTGAAGGAATCAAGCTATTATGATGCGTCAGCCAATCGAGCCTTCGGTGGAGTGGACTATGCCCCAGATTTTCACTCTGTCAAATACGGATTCGAGTCCCGCATGCAACAAAAGCGGAAGAACTTGAAAACAGTGGAATATGTGCCATGTTGGGGTGTTCGAGGGTAGAAATCCGCTACGTCGCAGTCATGGGCAGAAAGTTCGTGTCAGAAAGTCCAGTCGTGGAGTACACCCGAAATGGTACCTAAGTAACTGTGAAATAACACCAAAATTAGTTGTGCGGGAGATGCCCTTATAATCAAATATGTCGAAAAGAGCACAGGTCATCAAAGAGCGGGGAGCGAGCCGAGGTTGAAGCCACCACTGAAGTCAGGGTGGAGGATGTCGAGATAAATGGTCAAGCATCGGTGGAAGCGTCGACCGCATCTCCAGCTACATGTTTTTAGCATCGCTTCGCGCT